CAATAAAGCACCACCACTGCCTCGCCATTTTAAAACTGGATGATCCAGAGACACAGCAAGGTGCATGCTGGAAATACATCATTGTGCACTGTTGCAGGAAGGGAAATGAGACAAAGTTACACCTAGTATAGCTTGCAAATGGAATAAATGAATTCAGACTACAACCTCAGCCCTCAAGCAAGGGCAGAAGCTGAATAGAAGTCAGTTACATTATGCATTTTGAGAGGAAAAGGAATGGAAGTTTCTAGAAGAGGCAGTAAAGCATTAAAACACGACATCTCAAAATACCAACAATTGCCGACAACAGGCAGAAAGAACTCTCTTCTCAGAAGCGTGTCTCATCACAATACGAAGGCAGGAGTAATACTACAGCAGACAACAACATCCACACTTGCCTATAGAGCTGTACCATTTGTTTGTTGATGTAAGAACAAATACTAGAGCATCTCACAATTTTTCAAGGCTCAAGCATCTTCTTAGTGTACCTGCATGACCATATTCCATTCATAAAGGAACTTAAACCCTCTTAAATGAAAAACATATTACTGTTTCAACAGTATTAGACCCAATCCTCAAAATCAATGTTAGTCCCACACCAAAAAATTTCGAGAACACTCAGAAGTTATCACTAGTTCCTTATAGTCTCCCTGTTAAGATTCCCCTGATTTCCAGTATCTGGAACTATTGAAAACACACAGGGCACAATTTTAAGATTCATTGGCAACTATGAGTTGAGATCTATCTTACACAGTGGACTCAGACATAAGAACTTAAAGAAAAATGTAAATTATAATACTTGGAATTAGTAGCATACTCTTGTATCATAATATACGTACATGTACACAGTTTCCATTTTTGTTATTTTAAACTTTGTTACCAGGGGTTGAACTACAGAATATCTCCGAAACTTCAACTGATACATTACAATATAATTGACTCCAATATTAAGACAGGTGACTTTACTGCTAGTGTTTTGGAACTAGACTTAATTCAGCAATGTATTGTGTTCAGCTACCTTCGCAAGCACTTGAGTGGTTTGTTAAATATCCCATATACTTTAGGAAAAAAAATGCTAATAACATTTATTCATTTGAATTATAGATCTGGTTTATTGCACATGAAAAGGAAACTACAGAATTGACCTTCTGTCCTCATTACCATTCTTCCCTTCTTGTGCTAAAGATAGCATAGAGAGTAAAAATAAATAAATCCTCAATAGCATTAGGAATTAGACAATGTCATGTTGAAAGATACCCTAAATGATGAGCCTTATCTGTTCTTGCTGGCTGGGATGGCAGGGGGCTCTTAGGGGGAAGGCAGCATTTAAGTGTTCTCTAGGTGGTCTCTTCGTAGCCAGCTCCATTTCCAGCTGTAATTGCTCGTCAGCCCTAACTGGATGACTGAACACTCTGGAATAGCTCAACAAAGTATTTAAACAGATGGATGGTACAGGCCACTGGAACAAAACTCGTTTTTTCTCTGGCCATGGCTCTCTTTCAGCACATTCCTTTGAAGTCTGTGCCACTGAGGAATCAACAACAGCTGAGAAACATGTGTTATCATACAACATTGAGCACAGCAACAATATTGCACAGCAAGACACTTTTGTTCAATAACCCCAGACTATAGGGAAGCATTACAATGCTTTTTGTTATTGGTAAACCCTTTTTCCAAGCACAAGAAAGTAAACAGATTCCTCCCCCCTGTAAGTAGTAACTCTAGGTAAAAAGGTGAATTAAGCACATTTCTGAAGAGCCTCCCTTCCAAAAACTTACAGCATGCATCTTCTCAATTCCTCTCAAACATAATCACCTATCTCCGTATTTATGTTACCACAACAACAACCAGAAGCTTACAGAGATTGAGCAAGAGTAACAGCAGATGTGACAAGTCCTTATAAGCTATAGCTCAAATCCATTTTCCTTTCCCAGCAGGGTAAGGTCTCTGATCTCAATTTAGAGGGTAAAGAACCAGGGCGAGCAGAAGCACTGCGCAGCTTGGCATGCACAGGCAGTTCTGCCCTCTCCCCATATTTTCATCGGTACAGAGAGAGATGCCATACAATCCTCACAATAGTAAGAGTAGAAAACAACGTGACTATCCTTTCATTAGCCAGCAAAACTATTATTGTCAAAATGTGAAATCACCATACACTTTGCATGGGGTTTTAAAGGATAAAAAGAAATTAGTTATTTGTGGAACTGAATCTGTACCTAGACTGAGCTGTCCACAGCGTGAGAGCAAGGAGCTAGCTACATGCATAGGCAGGAGGACAGCAAGTTATAACCTACAGCTGATGAAGCTGCATAACAGCAAGTTTCTACAGAATCAAGTCTCTCATTCAGAGCAGAGAGAACTACTTGCAACAGGATAGAGCCTTGTATTTACACAGCATACAAATATCAAATGCTACAGGAAGGCAAGCACTGAGATTATAGTATGTCCTGTTATATTGTAGAGTCACATCTCCTGGCTTGAGAAAGTTAAAAGAAAAATCTAACATTTCAAACAAGCCCTAGAAAACCACACAGCATTTACATTTAATTTCTAGATAGAGATCTTAAAGACTTAAGAACCCAAGCAGAGACCTAAAATTAGAAAGCAAACAGAAAACCCCACATGCACTAAGCCAATCTCATAATTACAGAGTTAAAAAAAAAAAAAGCCAGAAAATGCATGCATTGCACTGAGTGGGGTCCTCAGCCCAGCCCCCATGAGATAATCCTCTACCCTGCAATTAAATCTCATGGGGTTTCTTTCTGCAGAGCAGTAACTATCAAATTCACACACCGATTAGGTACCATGGATGAAGCATGCACTGATATCTCGAAGTTATACAGGGGTTAAAAGGAAACACTCTCAAAACTTTTACAGCAATGCAAAGTCTTGTGCACTGTCACTCAAAATGAATGCTGATTATCAAGAGTTCTGCTTTACAACTTCCTAAGAGCAAATATTAGCACAAGAGTAACTATCACCTGACTAGCATTCAAAATATTACCACTAAACAGCAATATATTTGCACATAATTATTCTTAAAATCATGCGTAAGAGTACTTAGAGATTCCGTAAATCTCCATATCCTATGAGGTGCAGGTAGGAAGACAGCTTAGGTAAAGGGCATACTGCCATTCGATGGCAGAAGCAGGAACAGGACCCATGATCCTCAGCTCTCAGCACTGAACTTGAGCAGCTCCGTCTCCTGCTTTCCAGCTAACGCGTTCCTCTCCAAAGCTTCTCTCAAAAGGGTTTAAGAAGTAATGCTAATCATCTTAATTTGTCTCTTTGGAATTATTGGTGGTGTTTCCAGACACAGTCCATGGTACAGTTTTAAGAGACAAACTTCTTGTTAATGTTACTTGCTATTTTTCCCCGATCCCAGAGATTTTAATCTTTTTCTTTCCTAGATGAAAATGAACAACCACAGTCAAATTCTGTTATGTTTGTGGTGGTGGGAAGGATGGAGAGGCTATCTTAGCTCTTACAGTTGGTCCTAAAGAGCATGCAGCTGAACACTAGAAATGACAAGCAGTTATTTCTATTCCCTCACAGCAAAAAAAAAAAAAAAAAAAAACACATTGAATTTGCAATGAATTGCTAAGACACAAGAGGAAATACTTCTTGTTTAATATCCAGCCTATTTTCTAATTAGATATTAAAGTTCAATATGAAATTGTATTTCCTCCCGTTCTTAGAGAAGGCGGAGAAGGGGGTGTTGGACTTACTTTGCAATTTAACCTTGTGGTCTTTAGGAATGACATCTATCAGGGGAGGTAACAACACAACCCAGGACTACACTCCTTCAATTCTGACCTAAGGAGTTCACATTATTGGTAAACTCTATTTTTCTAACATCAGGCTTTGCTTTTACAGCACAACACAATCACAACACTACCCAGCACAATTAACTGAGAGCACCAAAGCCCTTAAACAGGTGTCAAGCAACTGATTGACTTACTCTGCACAACACATCCTTCATCTGAATGCGTGACGCTGACTGGAGATGAGACAGAAGCTTGTGAAGTCCAAGCCAGACTTCAAAAGCCACACCACAGAGCTTTCTGTCATGGGTGTAGGTAGTTCCCAACTATTCTGCTAATGGGGCAAGCTCTGACACAACTGCAATTTTCAGATGTAAAGCGTGACAGGTGTCATTCCAGAGGGGACACAGAAATCCATAACCTTCCCCCCTTCGGATTCTCCCCGGCAACAAAGCCCACAAGCCACAGACCCACACCCTGCTTCACTGGCACGTGAAACCAGCACCCCACCGACAGGCGCACGGCTTGGCATACGCCGAGCTACGACAACAGCCCCAAACAGCCCCAGGACCAGACCTCCGCACCAGTGCTGCAGGGCGGCACGAACCAAGGACCAGAGCCCACTGCCATGCCCTGTGGAGCTGGTGCCTCCTGACCGTCCCGCTGCTGAAGCTCTTCTCATCAGTGCTCTCCCCTCCACCCAAACATAAATAAATAAATAAATAAACAAACCTCATGCATTCCCTGCTGGCAAAACAGCTTTTCTTTTAATTTTTTTCTCAGTGGGGGAGAGAAAGGGGAAAGGAAGGGTTGGGACAGGAATAAAGGAGATTAATCATGAAACCAACCGGCACTGTCTGCATAGAAGGGGGGGGGGAAGGGGGGGGGAGGGGGGAAACACCAAAACCAAACAGTCCACGTTGCAAAAAAAAAAAAAAAAAAAAAACAAAAAAACAGAAAGAGGGGAAATTATCCCGCTGGGGACAGCTAGCGAGGAGGATAAGAAGTCCTGCGAAGGCTTCCCCGAGCACGAAGAGCTGCCCAACTCCGCTCGCAAGGGCGCCGAGCAGCACCCTCGACGGAGGGAAGGACGGAGACCAAACGCCGGGCAGGGAACGGGAAGGGAGAAGCGCAGGGGCAGGGAAGAGCCAGGCGGGCGTGAGGGGGAAAGAGAGGGAGGAAGGAGGAAAACAGAGCCGAGGGCAGCGGGCAGCCAGCTCTCCCCCGCCGCGCACTCACCGCTCCGCCGCCGGCCGCCCGTCCCGCGGCGGCTCCGGGCAGCGCCAACGGCCCCAACGGCCGCGGCCCCGCCTCTGCCCCGCGGGGAAACGGGGCGGGGGGACCGGGGGCTCGGCTCGGCTCCGCCCGGCCCCGCCGAGGGCGGCTGCGGGGGGGGACGTGCGCGGCCGCCCCCGCCTCCTTCCTGCCTCTGCCCCGCTCCCCTTCAGCGGGGGAGCCATGTAACGGAACTGGGACGCCAGCGCGGCATTGTGGGAGCTCTTAAAGCCGCAGCCGCACGCCCACCGCCGGCCCTGAGGCACCGGGGACGGGACGGGACCGAGCGGCGGGGCCGCGGGTTGGCGGCGGTGGGGCCCCGGGGAGGCCGGGCCCCCTAAGGCGAGGAGGAGGAAGGATAGGGAGACCCCCAGCTGGGACCTGGAACTGGGTTCTGTTGCTCCCTCTCTTTCCTTTTTTTTTTTTTTTTTTTTTTTTGAAAATTTTCTCTCTCTCTGACTTTTGCCTAATGTTTCAGTGTTTCTGGGAAGAGTGAGAATAAGTGACTGAAACGTGGAAAGCCGGCAGTCAGTGTTCGCTATTGTTTCCTGCGTTGGGCTTTTGATGATGGAAAACTCCCTGAGGGGAAAAGAACAAAACAAAACAAAACAATCCCAGGGCAGCAAAGAATCTTGAGCAAGAGGCTATTTTTGGCTGAAAGTTTAGAATAAGAACTTTTGATCAGTTCTGTGATTGTACAGCTTGGAATAGGAAGATGACTGTTTCTAAGGCGAAAAGAAAAAAAAAAAAAGAACTTGAGAGCTGTGATTCACAGACTTTACTGCTGTCTACGAATGTTCGTGCTGGGTCTGCTCTCAGCTGCCTGCAGTGGTGACACCTGGCTCTTCGTGGGGCTGGTGGCCTTCCCAAAACATCCCCTGGACGACGTCCAGAGGCTGGGAGACACTGATGGTTTGGGAAGGAACCTCTCCAAGAGAACTCCTTCGGCTGTTCCTTTTACCACTGTTAACGATGTTCTGCACCATTCTTCATGGCTCAGAAGCGCAGCGTGGCACACTTTGATCAAAATGCAAGCACAGAAGTATCTGCAAGATTTGGGCTTGGGGATGCTTCTACAAATATTTCTAGTTGGTGTGGATGTTGCATTGCAATCACATCATAACCGTACCACTGAGCACATTTTTCATAAGCACGCCTGGCAAGGCAAAGTTCCTGCTGAAACTGTTTTCTGGAGACAGGGATGACACTTTTAGGTGTGACCTGCACCTAGGCCTTTCATCCTCTTTTTTAGATGGGAGGAGGTGCTAAGCAGTCTGTGTGAAAGGCCTGAAGCACACGAAATGAGGTATGGTTAGGAAGAAATTACAAATATTTGTGTATAGAATCATAGGATATCCCAAGTTGGGCATCTGTCATGTGATCTACATGGTCAGCTACATACACACCTTAAGAAAAACAAATGCTAGAGAGATACCTCTGGCAATGCTGTTGGTGACCAGTTTTCCAGTAGTCTACAGGATGAGATTTGTTTTTGGAGCTAGAAAGAGCCCTGACATTTCTCATATTCTAATGTTTTATTTTCTGTGCTTCCCTCTTGTAATGTAGTTTTTAAAGGCACTGAATATAGCACGTGTCCACTTCTTCAAAATAAAGTACATGAAATTTCAGAGCAATTTTTGCATTGATAAGCCAAGTATGTCCAGGGAGGGCATCAAATACATTTTCAGGAGTGATTTTTTTCCCTGTCAAAAATGGAAAACTTTGGAGAGGTGAGGTGGTTTAAAAAAGGAGGAAAAACAAATCTCTGTGTTGGGATCATGTAAACATGTAGCATTGACCAAGGTTAGCTCTGAGGGGGAAGATGACTGCAGCCATTTAAGAAAAATGGGGGAAAATAGCCTCAAGTCCAGCCGTAAAATAAGGCTAAAATTGCATAAATACCTCCTCCACTATGTAACACAGCAGCCTGGTTGTTCTTTCAGCCATACTGAAAGAACAAGACACTGTTTCTCCAGAAATTTATGAGGAAGATATGATGGAGTGATGCTTAATTATACCGACCAAGGACAAGACTTTGTGTAGTTGTAGGATGTCTCTGCTGTGGCAGTCAGTTCCTGGCTCCCAATGCCCACCCCAATTGTTTCCTAACTTAATTGCACTATATTATAATCCTAAAATAATTTGTTTCATTCACCTTGAGTCACTCCTTGCTTTGTACATTGCTAGAGAAGGATATGGACTCTAATTTAGTAAAGCAGTCAAGCACATCCTTACATTTACATGGAAATCCTGAGAACCTAACCAGAGACTGTTTTCTGTTTGTTTTGTTTTGTTCTGTTCCGTCTTTTAATGATCTGGATCACTGATTGATGTATTTGGAGATAGATTTCTCATAGGAATCCTGCTACCTGTTTACAAAAGAGGTAATTAAAGTGCCCTACGCAGGGAGTAAAGGCACCCTTGATGCTGGCACTGAGCATCGCACACAGAACTCCTTCCACCACACAGGCACACACGCACAGAGTCTTGCACATATGTTCTTAATGATGATAAAAAGGAGAAAATAGGCCCACATGCTTTTTGGTTATGTAAGCTTTCCAAGAATTATGCCTTTTAGACCAAAACCGGGAAGAGAATGTTTCTGAGGTTCCTTAATTTCCTCCTCTGCTTGATCTGATCTTCAGCTACCACTGCCCTTCCCACTGTCATTTCACCTTGGAGAAATACAGTGTCTCAGTGGACTCTTTAAATGTAATCCACACTATAAAATCAGCCTCATTCAGAACAGAAACAGCTATGAGTAATCAGCACAGCTTTCAGTGTCATGTATTTGCAGTAAACTCTTCATGGTCAGAATAAAGCAACTCTGTCTCCGCAAATGCTTTCTTGAGAAGAAATAAAGTAGGTCTGGATTCAGCAAATTATTTAACTATGTCCATATATTTAAGGATGTGAATACTCTCACTGGGACTACTTGCATGTTCAAAGTTATGCATGTGCTTAAGTACTTTCTTGAATTGGATCCATAGCAAATAAATCTGACCCGATACTCAACGAGCAGAAAAACAAGCTAATTTGGGGGAACAGGGTAAATTTATGTTCTGTAGTCTTATTTGCTTTACTTTAAAATGAACATTTCAAGAGGCTGATTTTTTTTTTTTTTTTTTTTTTTAATGAATATGCAGTCTGAAATTCAGGGGAAGCAAACAGACTTCAAATTAGAATTTAAGTTAAGGGCATTCTTCAAGCTCTTTTTTCTTAGTTTTGTTGTTCTGTTTAGTTAGTGTTTATTTCTTGGAGTACAAAGAGAAATAATTCCTTGTTTCTCCTCCAGATTTTCTAGATCTTGTTATTTGCTGTTTATTGAGTAACATGCTGCATCAGATATAAAGGGCAATGCAATCTCTGTCTTAAAATATTTGAAATACAAAAGACTGATTTTCCAAGATGTAAAATAGGTTCAATTTTCACTTCACACAGCAGATCTTATGTGCTCCCAGAGACTTGTAGGTTTTGAGACTTAGTTCCGCATAATAAATCCAAATTAATTCAAACAAAAAAGGAAATCCAGACCAGACTCCTCTTTCCTGACCTGGCCATGTATGTTAACTCAAATTAATTGGTTAGGAGTGAATGACAATCAATGACATCCTATCTAGAGATGTATAAACAACTATTTAAAGGTGGGCTTTAAAAGAGGAGAGGCCTAATCAAGGGGAAGGATTCACACAGGAAAGACATTAAAGGTAAGGATTTGGAACAGCAGTGAAAATGTTCAATTTCCATCATAAGCTCATATGCCTCCTGCTTCTTCCAACCTGGGAAAGCCAAATTAAACCTTCGTGCAATTACTTCCAACTTCCCTGCATTCACACTGCATTTGCAGTTGGTGTCTCCTCTTAAGAAGTGCAAGGGCGTCATTTCTCTACCTCCAAGAGTTACAGGTCCATCAGGCAAGGTATTCATTATTCTGATTAATGCACAGGAAAAGGAATCACGTAGTCCTTATTCTATCTGTTAATCAATAAATGGCTCTTTATCTCTCTTTTTTCCTTGATTAATAAAAAGTCATCTTCTTTCAGAGAGGGCTTGTGAAGCTCAGTTCAATCACGTTAGAGGAATATGTTGTAATTGATGCATGTGTGTCAGAGGAGTGAAACATTGCTAGTGGACCTATTTATCACTGGCCTATTTAAATTAATAACTATCTGGTGTGGTCAGCTGCAAACCATAATTTGTAAAGTATTTTAGTTCCATCTTTAGGAAAAAAAAAAAAAAAGTAGGTTCATAGTTGTTATGGTTACAAAGGAAAGCAAGAAAGGTATGAACCTTGACAGTTCCAAAACCAAAATGCAAATAAGAGCATTAAATAAATATCTAAATATCATATGATTTAGGAGGGAAGTCACCAATATTAGCCTTCAGATATTTCATTTGACTTTGAATCACAATGAAATGCTTTGACTACTAAGTTTTACTTTGAATCATCTCTTTGCTAAATCTTGGCAAAAAGTGTCAATATAAATCTCAAGAAATTTGGAAGGCAGAGAATGAATTACTGTAGCTCTTATAAAGCACGGGCAGATATCAACTAAAGCAAATAAATACCCCTGTGGGAACTCACATTAGTCTTCCCTAGTGAAGCTAAATGGTGGCAGTGCCACTACTCAAAGGATTGAGGAAAAACCTGAAGATCAAACTAGCTAAAATGAGCCTTCTGTTGAAGATATGATTTAGGAAAGAAAAAAAATCACACCTTAAAAATGCAATCTGATGACAAGGATGAAAAATGTTGATTTTAACTGGGAGTGAATGATAACAAAAAGATTTTAATTTGGAAACCTGGAAATGTACACTTGAAATGGGTGTGCTATTTAATGTAAGAGCTCATTTGCTTGATGGCTGGAACTCTCTGCCCTTCTCTTATCAAGAAGATTCAGACAAGAATATTATTTTATAATACACAAGAAGGTCGCAAATTCTTTGTGATTACAATGCTGGTTTAACACTTTTTTTTTTTTTTTTTTTCTGTAAAATAGTGCTATTCTTTTTAGCAGAGCAGAATCTCCTCTCTTTCAAGGTGTGATACAAAACTTTTAACCTATTACGATGCCCCTCCTTGAAGCCCATATACCAGTGATATTTGAAGGGCCTATCATGGTGCTGATACTTATGATTTATTATTATTATAATTTCCAAAGTAATATATTGCTTTTGAACAGTATATTTGAATATATTTAAATCTGTTTATATATATATTCACTTTCAGTTTATAAATCAGTTTTGTTATTCTGTAAACTGGCAAAAGTATACCAAAATACATACCTACTTTTTTTTATTATACAGAAATTTCTATCATGCGTATGAAAACAAATACTAAATCCCTTTCATAGTTCTCCCTTGTCAGTAAGTTCCAGGAACCCACTTTTTCTTAGTGTACAGTACCTCATCTCCATTGAAAATGGTGGTGGGAATTACCTGTCCCCTGAAGCACCAGAATTAAGTCTAATATACTTTAAAATATAAAGAGTATAACATTTCAAAAACCCTTGAGTAATTCCAAAGCTTAAGCCCCATTTTCATAAGTAAGTTAGGGCCAGATTTCCAAAGCTTTTGGAAAATGCAAATAGATGCCTAGAAGGCTTTCAAAAGCACACATCAAAATGGAGAGGGGAAAAAAAAAAAAAAAGTATTGCCATTGTGGTTTCCACATTAAGAAATTTGAATGGGGAAAAGAAAAAAAAGAATTTTTTACTTCTCATGGATTTTTGGAAAAGCTTGGAAATCAACACTAAAACATCAGCAATCAGTATACAACAGACACTCAGAATAGATATTTTAGGTCATTCTAGCAAATCTGTCACTTTGCTTTGTAAAGTCTGTATTTAACATGAATTCAGCAGGTTAATTCCTTTGTTGAAAACAGTTCTCCTGTTGTTTTCTAAAGTTTTTCTCAGCTTCATTTCTTACTTTTGTGGCCCCCCAGCTGGGAAACATGAGAGGGTAAGATACCTGCTTTCAGCAAAGAACTGATTTCCTGATCCTTGTGACCTGAGCACACCAAGCTTCCCCACAAATAAAGAAACTGGATTACTATTTTAGGATAATTGGGTAGCTTGTTGCCTTAAAAGTTATTGGAAATCAGAGCTGTGTAAAGCACTTTCCTGGCTTTCCTGTAGTTGCCTCTTAATTGAGCACTTTGTTTTTGAGACTTTTTTTTTTTTTTTTGGTCTATTTCAGTTCCAGCTGAAGAAGAGCAAAGAGAATAAAAAAAGCAGTTTTCTGAGAAGGTTTCAAACATGTACATTATAAACTGGTTGTTATTGGGATGAAAGTTGCCTTCCTGCTGCTTTTCTTATCCCTTCTCCTCTTCCTTTTATATGGCATGGCATCTTTTTAAGTCCAAAATCTTCAAAAGAGTTGTATGCCTGTGTGAGGCTCCATCTACAAGCCGGCATGTATATACAGACCTGTGTGCATCCTCACTGGATTAGGGTTTTTTGTGTTAAACTTTTAAGAGCACGTATATTGGCTTCTTACATTTATTGGAAGTACCTACTTTACTGGTGTTACATTTAACACCCATTTAATAAAACTTCCCACTAGTTCATGCCTTGTGTTTTCCAGCTCATGAATCTCAGACTTGTAGTGCAGCACCATAATTCCTCATCCTCCTTGGGGCACTGTATGCTGGGAGCAGAGATGAGTCTGAACAGCTCAGTAGCCAGTGGATCCCCAACTTAGGAGAGGCTGTGCTGGGTCTGGGTGCTGCCCTGCAGGGTCTCTGGGGGGCTCCATGTGGAGGTGTCCCAATGGGAGCCTCCCTTGCAGAGGCTGACTGGGTGTCCTGACCCAGCCACCTCCTTGTACCTTGTACATAACCCATGTCAGGGCTCAAGTTTCCTGGCACAGGAAAGAGTAGAAAGATCTGTTGATAGCTATCAAAAGGACTATTGAGGATAAAGAAGCCTAAATAGTTTTAACAACATTCACTTGAGTAAATCTGATGATCTTGGAGACTATAGATGAAATAAAGCCTTCAAACTGCTTTGAGGTTCATAATAGTTTTATGGATGGGTGAGAACTATACCCAGGAGCTTTCTTAAAACTGTTAGGCCAGTTTTAAGAAAAGGGCACAGATCCAGATTTCTCTAGGAGCAAGTGTTTGAAAACATCCTTGGACTGGTTAAAAATTGCTTAGCTCATCAGTGGCAGAGTTGGGAAGAGTTGGGAAGCCAAGCTTCAGGCTCTGAAGTTGCATGCTCTCACTGCTGGACAGCACTAGACTGCTAAATAATCAGAGTAACTCTACAACCAAAGCTCCAGGTCTAGACACAGCCCAAGGCTAATGCCAGATGAAGCTGTGCTCTACTGCAAAGAGGTACCTCTCAAGAAGCAGTTGGACACCTCTTCCCACAGGCTGTTTTCTCTACAGCCAGCACTCGTGGGAGCATGAGAATGCTACATCTTCTGGCATCCTGAAACTAGGATGAAAGCCTCCCCTGGGCTAGTGAAAGGTTAGGGTACAACTATGCTGTGCTCACCCAAGGGACTGAAGTGAAGTCGGGAGCTACTCAAGCCATTACATAAAAGCTGTCACAGTTAACGGTGGCGTTGTCAGGTCAGGTCTTGCCTGAGATCAGGGCAAGCAAATTCACCTTTCTGAGAAATAAGCTGAACACAACGTACTTCCTTCTGTACTAGGGAAGTATTTCAAAGTAGTTATTTAAAACTGAAGCTCTGTTTCTGAATAGCAAGCCCATTCTGGTCTAGCCAGTTCCCCTTTTGTGGCTCCACAAAGCCACATTATTTTGTAACTGTGAAGGATATGTGAGCTGCACAGGGATATTACAAAGGGGGTTGTTGCTACTTGTATTCTGTCATGGTGGTGGTCATCTAAAATGCCCACCTGGAGTCCCTC